TCCATTGTGTATATATACCACATTTTTCTTATCCAGTCATCTGTCAATAGATATTTAGGTTGGTTCTGTATTTTGGGTATTGTAAATACAACTGTGATGAGCATGGGAGTGCACATATCCCTTTGACATGATGATTTCCATTCCTTTGGATATATACCTAATAATGGGATTGCTGGATCATATGGTAGCTCTATCTGTAGTTGTTTGAGAAAACTCCATACTGTCTTCTATAATGGCTAATTTACAGTCACACCAACAGTGCAGAAGAGTTTCTCTTTCCCCACATCCTCAGCAACATTTGTTATTCTTAGTCTTTTTAATAACAGCCAGTCTAATTGGGGTGAGATGATATCTCAGTGTGGTTTTGATTTGCATTTCCCTGATGACTAGTGATGCTAAGCACTTTTTCATGTACCTGTTGGCTATCTATACATCTTCCTTTGAAAAGTGTCTGTTCAGCTCCTTTGCCCCGTTTTTCATTGGATTATTTGGTTTTTTACTGTATAGTTGTTTGAGTTCATTGTGTAATAAAGTTCATTGTGTAATCCTTTGTTGGATGTATAGTTAGCAAATATTTTCTCTTATTCCATAGGTTGTCTTTCTACTCTGTTGATTGTTTCCTTCACCGTGAAGAAGCTTTTTAGTTTGATATAATCCAATTTATTTATTTTTTCTTTTGTTGCTTGTACTTTTGGGGTCTTATTCATAAAGTCTTTTCCCAGTCCTATTACCTGGAGTGTTTCCCTATATTTTCCTTTAGTAATTTTATGGTTTCAGGTCTTATACTTAAGACTTTAATTCATTTTGAGTTGATTTGGGTATATGGTAAGAGGTACAGTTACAGTTTCATTCTTTTGCATATGGATAGCCAATTTTCCAGCACCATTTATTGAAGAAGCAGTCTTTTCCCCAATGTACATTCTTGTTGCCTTTGTCAAATACCAGTTGGCTGTAAGTATGTGGGTTAGTTCCTGGGTTCTATATTCTGTTCCATTGATCTGAGTGTCTGTTCTTATGCCAGTACTGTGCTGTTTTGGTCACAATAGCTTTGTAATATAATTTGAAGTTGAGAAGTGTTATGCCTTCAGCTTTCTTTATTTATTTTTTGGTCAAGATTGCTTTGGCTATTCAGGGTCCTTTGTTGTTCCATATGAATGCTTGGATTGCTTTTTCTGTTTCTGGGAAGAATGTCATTGGTATTTTGATGGTTATTGCATTGCATCTGTAGATTGCTTTGGGTAGAATGGACATTTTCACAATGTTAATTCTTCCAATCCAAGACCATGGTATGTCTTTCCACCTTTTTGTGTCCCCTTTAATTTCTTTCAGTAGTGTTTTATCGTTTTCATTGTAGAGATCTTTCACCTCCTTGGTTAAATTGATTCCTAGGTATTTTATTTTATTTTATTTTGGTGACTATTGTAAATGTTCTTGCTTTCTTGATTTCTTTTTATGTAAATTTCTTATTTAAAGATAAAAATCCTACTTACTTTTGGGTGTTGATTTTGTAACCTGCAGCATTACTGAAATTGTTATTCAGCTCTAAGAGTTTTTTGGTAGAGTCTTCAGGTTTTTCTATATATAAGATCATGTTGTCTGCAAACAGGGACAGTTTGACTTTGTCCTTTCCCATCTGGATGCCCTTTGTTTCTTTCTCTTGCCCAATTGCTTTGGCTGTACTTCCAGAATTATGTTAAATAGGAGTGGTGAGAGGGGGCATCCTTGTCGTCTTTCCGTTCTTAAGGGAAAAGCTGAAAGCTTTTTAGGATGATATTGGCAGTTGGTTTGTTGTACATAACTGACACCACAGAAATACAAAGAATCATTAGAGATTATTATAAACTACTGTACACCAACAAATACAAAAACCTGGAGGAAATGGATAAATTTCTGGACACATACAAACTACCAAGACTGAACCAAGAAGAAATAGAAAACCTGGACAGACTAACAACAAGCAATGAGATTGAAGCAGTAATGAGCAATCTTCCAACAAAGAAAAGCCCAGGACCAGATGTCTTTACAGCTGTATGCTATCAAACCTTTAAAGAGGAATTAATACTAATTCTCTTTAAGTTATTTCAAAAAGCTGAAACAGAAACCATTCTCCTAAACTCATTCTATGAGGCCAGCATCACCCTGATACCAAAACCAGAAAAAGACACAACAAAAAAAGAAAATTACAGGCCAATATCCTTGGTGAACATAGATGCAAATGTCCTCAACAAAATTTTAGTAATCAGAATACAGCAGCACATCAAAAAATTATATAGCATGATTGAGTGGGATTCATCCCAGGGATGCAAGGATGGTTCAACATACACAAGTTAATAAATGTGATACATCACATCAACAAAATCAAGGACAAAAGCCATGTGGTTATCTCAATAGATGCACAAAAAGTATTTGACAAAAATCAATATCCTTTCATCATAAAGACTCTCAGGAAATTAGGTATAGAAGGAATTATGTCAACACAATAAAAGCCAGTTTACTTCCAATTAATTTTATATCATTTTATGAATAGTAAAGAAAAATTTACAATAGTGTGTTTCCATTTCCCCTCATATTGGCATTTGTGCTATTGTTGATATTATTTTACTTCTACATATGCTAGAAACCACAAATGCCTTGTTATTAGTTTTGCTTTAAACAGTCAATTATTTTTAATGATAATTTTTTGAAGTGTTTTGTATATCTGATATATTTATCATTTCAGTGTTCTTCATTTCTTTTTGTATATCCATATTTCTATGTTTGTATATCCAGATACCATTAGGTATACTATTGGGTAATTTTCATTTTTCTTGAGGTATTTCCTTAGCATTCCTTTTAGTGCAGGTCTTTTGGTGATAAATTATTTCAGCTTTATGTTTCTGAAAATTGTCTTTGTTTCACTATCATTTCTGAAAAAAGTTTTGATCATTTTTTTCTTTAGTGTTTTCTGTCTCTCTGTCCACCTTTCTTCTTCATGACTCCAATTACAAATATATTAGGCCACTTGACAGTGATTCACAGCTCACTGATGTGCTCTTCCCTGCCCCCCGCCCCCCGCCGAATCTTTTTTTCTGTATTATGTTTCAGGTAGTTTCTGTTGATGTATGTTCAAGTTCACTAATCTTCAGAGTATTTTTAATAAATCTTTAGATGTTCTATTTGAGATAGACAGATATAGATCATCCATATATCTATCTAACATGCTTAATCTTTTCTCTATCTTTAATATATGCAATACAGTATAATAAATGTTTTAATATTCCTGTCTATTATTTCTATCCTCTGTTCCATTTATGAGTCTGTTTCTATTAGCTGACTTTTCTTCTTGTCATGGGTTATACTTTTTGCTTCTGGCATGTCTGGTTGAAAGCCATACCCTTTGAATTTTACCTTTTTGGGTGTTAGAAGTTTTTGTATTTCCATAATTATTCTTGATCTTTGTTTTAAATGCAGTTAAGTTAAATGGAAACAGTTTGATCCTTTTTTGGTTTGCTCAATTTTAAGTATTGGTACATACGATCAGAGAAGCCTTTATCTTCAGGATGTATTTTGCCTGGTACTGAGGCAATACTCTTTTGTGGACTTTTTATGAATCATATGAATTCTGAGGATTTCCACTCTGGCTGGTGGGAGCATGAAAAATTCCTAGCCCCATGTAAACCTTCTTGTTCTTTGTTTTTTCTTGATCTGTTCTTCAAGAAGGAAGTTGCTTGGTCTTTGTCTTGATTTGTTTTTCAAGAAGAGTGTTGTTTCCTTCTTGGTCTCTTCTTCTCCCAGTCCCAGGTAGTTTCCTTAAACCCATTCATTGATCAGTACTTAGCTAAAGATTCAAGGAGAACCTTCCTGCATATCTCTAGAGCTCTTTTTTGTGCGTGTTGCTTTTTCTTCTTTGCTACTCTTCCCTGTGAAGTCTAGTTATTGTTGGCCTCCCCAGACTCTTAGTTAATCTCCTCAACTCAATGAGCCTGCTAGATTCCATCTGGGTTCACCCTCTCTGTGCTGCTGCCTGGAAACTCTCCCTAGGAAGTAAGCTGGGGAAATTATAAGGCTCACCTCATATTTTTTCTCTCTTTCAGTGATTTGCATTGTTCCCTACTTAATATGCAATGTCTGAAACTGTTGCTACATAAATTTTGTCCATATTTTTAATTGTTTTAGGTGGGAGGGTAAATCTGGCCTCTGTTTCTTCATTATAGCTGCAAGTGTAACCTCTCATGTAATTTACATCTTTATGGAAGCAAACAATCGATAAATACACAGAAATATATATCATATCATTTTATATAGAGTATGTAAGTAAATTTTGTTTCATGTTGTTTTCTCTTTATCCTTCCCTATCGTCATCCCTCCTCCTTTCTTTTTTCCTTCTCTTTCTTTCTTACATATTATTTTATTTTCTTTATGTAACATAGATAATGTCTCTTAATATTTTACTACTTATTTCCTAGTATTTCTTTGTCTTTTTTACTTTATTTATGGGTGTTTTTCCTTGGAGAAATTTTATATTTTACACAGTTTAGTATGTCAGTCTAATTATTTATGATTTATGGGTTTTAAATTATGCTTAGAAGGTTTCTGTATATACCAAGATTATCAACGTATTTACCTTAATTTTTTACTAATCTTATGACTTTATTCGTTACATTAAAATGTTTGACTTATTTTCATTTATTTTAGTGAAAGAAGTGTTTAATAAATTAAACAAATCTTAAATGAAATAAGACATGTCTGGATTCCCAATTCTGGTTTTACTTCATGGGAAAGAAGCTGCTCCCTTTCAAATTTTTTGCTATTGTTCTTTTTTCACACTGTTGGAATATTAAACATCTGTGCTATATAATTTAATTTGTATCAACTAAGAGTAAGAGTTTTAAATTATTTATTTACAAAAATAAGGATAACTAAAAAGCAAAACATTAGTTGCTAAATAAGTTAGTTTCTCCTTTATTCATTAATATTGGTGCTAATTAAAATGTTAGAATCCTTGACTTTTATTACATTAGACTCGGGAGACCTGGTGTTGATTGTTATTGCCAACATGAAAGTGGTGCAGCTGTCCTGCAGCTCCAATTCTTGGTCAATGAGGTAAGGATTTTTTTCCTTTGTTTAAAACACACACAACACACAAACACACAAGGTGTATCAGTTAATGTGATCATTTTGATATTATGATCCTAAATGCTTAAAGATATGTATGTATGCAGTATTATTCATGTCACATTTTCCATAAAAGATTATACCCTTCTATTTGTCAGTTTATTAAATTTCAAAGAAAAAGGATTGTATGTGCTAGAATATTTTGTGATTATGACAGTGTAGCATAATTTAGATTAATTATTTAAATGGTTTTTTGATTCCTTTGAGTTCTTTGATTCCTTTACTGTCCGTTAAACTTTCATTGCATTCACTCTCATCACTTTAAATTTTGCAATCCAGCCCTAACTTCATGTTTTGCCTTTATCTTCCTGAAATTATCTTTTTACTTATTTACCTATGGGCTCATTTATCTGTACACATCTCCATATGCATTTGTTGGTATATATATGCATTTGTACTTATTTATGTGTTCATAGCTATTATGACAATTTGCTGTCTGCTCTATCCCTATTTTTATAGAACTATGGTGATGAGGAACTCTCAAAAACAAAATAGGTATTTATCAGCCTCAGGAAGGTTACAGATCTTCCATTTGTTGGAGGCTACCTAAGGCCTTCTTGACTTCTTGATTTTTACAGTGGGTTCTGAGTTTTCTAGAGCTGTTTTATGTTAAGTGAGCTAGTCAGTGCAAAAATACCTTAGAAGTTTATGCCATGCCAAATTCAGTCACTTAGAAGATTGAACTCAGTGCCTTGGAAAAAAGTTCGGCTGGTTGCTCTTAACAAAACATTGTTCAGTGTCTACATATATTTACAGTGTATAGTTAATGTAGTCATTTTAATATTATGATTCTAAACTAAAGGTATATATGAATGCACTATTATTATTCATGTCACATTTTTCATAAAAGACTCTACCCTTCTATTTGTCAATTTATTAAACTTATATCTACCTTTACATGTCTATATATCTCTATCCGTATATTGTTCTAAGCATCTACAATCCTAAATTTTAAGAGGAAAGGAAAATTTGTAATATTGGCAAATGTCCACTTTTCACTTTTCTTGGCTCAAAGTCTTTCTGAGAAGGCTGTGAGATCCTCCGTATTGTCAGTCCTAGCATATTTCACCCTTACTTGCTATGGGTTATCAAAGAGAGGGAGGTATAGAAAAAAACAGAAAATTAAAAATTATATACCTTATTGTAATAACTAGTCATTACTATCTAGAATGTCAACCTTTTTGAGGTCTCAGTTATACTCTGTCGTTCCTACTTGAGGGATCTCAGCATTTTGCCATCTATAATAGGCAAGCATGATTTGTTTTTGTGTGATTTGCTCTGGGTTTAATCCCCTAAGAATTGTCTTCAGTGCCTTCAGTTTGCCCCTGTGCTGCATAACTAGGAATAAATAAAGACAAGCCTTCGACCTCCTTGCATTGTTTATATTGTTTCTCCTGAAGTACTCAGCCTGATCCCTCCCACACTCAGCTTCTGTACCCTTTCCCAAACTTCCTAGTTTTTGACCCCATGCCTGGTGTTTCTATTCACAGATTTAAATCTTTCAAAGATCTTCAGAAATAGTACTTCTGGTAGTTTCACTTTGCTTCTGTAAATGAACCCTAGACACTCTGCTGATGTACTTGCTTTCATGTTTTTGGTCTTTATTGATGCTATTATGCTCAGTGGTACTGTTCATTTTCCTCCAGAGACAAGTTACATCCCAGTTTTATCACAGAATTAATAATACTGAGTTCCTCTCTAGATTTATTCTGGTATTACACTAAGATATTATTGAATATATGCTGCCTTATTTGAATTCCATTGCCTTTGGTATGTTATGTCTTTTGTATAACTATCTACCATAGAGAATGTTTTATTAATTTTATATATTCTATTCTATTCTCATCCTACCCAAGTGAACTTCTACCTTTTTGAGAAATGGGGTCAATATCCTATCTCTCAAAAAATCCCCCATCAGGTGCTTCCAAGCAATCCTAATAACTTTCTGGTTCATTTATAGGAAGTATATGTACAGTTTACAAATAAAATAAGCAAACAAACACAAAAATCCTCAAGGTATATATAGGCTACATCTTATTGCATGATTTGAAATATCTATGAGTTCATATTAAAATGTACATATCACTTTATACTTTTACACATGTGTATTTATGTATTTATATATAAATATGAAAATTATACAAATTTTAAAACATTTTTATGGGTATACTGATTATTCTGATTTTTTTTTAAATAAATAAGTTTCTCTCTGAGACTAAAATCACAAGTACACAGTATAAAGAGAACCATCATAAGACATATGAGTGTTTTTGGTTAAGGAATTGTTATAGAAGGACATTTAGGTTCTTATCTTCTTCACTCCTCCAATTTCCAAAGAAGAAATAAATGCCAGGAATTTCAACATAGTCCTTTTTAGCATCCAAATGGGATAATCATTTTTATATCTGTGATCGATCTTGTAAACTGTGAAAGATTATTTGTAACAAAATTCTTTGGAATATATGAAAAGCATTTTAGGTATCTCAGCACTTCCATGGTTTTGCAAAGTCACGTTTACAGAACACATTCAATGCTCTAGAGTAGCTTTAGGCTCTATCATAACATTAGCATTGACATTTCCAGCTGGGAAACTATCATTTTGGTCAAAGTTCTGACATATTTTAAGATGATCTCTTTTAACTCAGTGAAATAAATAGTTTAAGCATATATATATAAAGTCATATATAGCAGCCAGTTATCTGTCCATATGCTTTCTGCCATATTAAGAGGCAGAAAAGATATTTTATTTTAAATAGGATCCAAATTTGTATTTCGTGGTGCTATATGAAAAGAATCTTAGTACTATTTTTATAGTTATATTGAATTCTAGTTGGAGGAATGTTTTATTTTATTATAGAGGTTTTCCTTTATAATAGACAAAGCTTATTGGACTGTAAGAAGCAAATTAAATTATACCAAATATACTTTTTAGGAAGAATATATACTTTCCAACTGTACAGAAAATTCATGCAAAGGGGAATTTTTACATAACCTATATTCAGTTTATAAAATTGGATTGGATATTTGCTTCTCTGTAAAGCTATCTAATATATATGTGAATAGTAGAAACATATTGACCCTTGCCTCTTCCATTCTCAGCATTCTTAACCTTCCTGATTAAGTATATGCACCTGTCCTTCCTTAAATTACTAGGTTTTATAGACACAAATAACTCCCTCAGCAGTGAAAAATTCAGTAAATTAGCTTATTGTTTCTGCTTCACAAAAAAAACCCCACCAAATTAAGTAAACCGCACACTTTGTCTTCTTTTTGTTCTAGGGTGCTTTGGTCAGTGCTAGTTCAGATGATACACTTCATTTGTGGAACCTTAGACAAAAAAGGCCAGCTATTCTTCATTCTCTTAAATTTAACCGAGAACGGTAAGAACATATGAGTTAAACAATTTCTTAATGTGCAGCAAAATTATGTACTGAGAATGTTGCAGGTTAACTTGGCAGACTTTTTTCATAATTAGATCATTTATATTATTTCATCTTTGAATTCACTGACTATTTTTTTCTTTCCCCTCCATTCTGCTGTTCAGCTTGTCCATAGTTTCTAATTTTCTTTAGTGTATTTTTCAGTAGTAAAATTTGCATTTGATTCTTCTTTTTATTTCCTTTATCTTTGCTGAGACTTTCTACTTTTTTGTTTCAAGTGTCTTTATAATTGCTTGTTGAAATATTTTTATGATCACTTCTTTTAAATATTTGTTAGTGATTCTAACGTGCCATCTTGGTGTTGGCATCTATTTTCTTTTTTCATCAAATTGAAATTTTCATATTCATTTGTGATTAGAGATTTTTAAACTAAAAATATTTTAGGTATTATGTTATGAGGCTCTAGGTCTTATTTAAACCTTCTCTTTTGGGTGGGTTTTGACATTGCTCTGGCAGGGGAAGATATTTTGTTACTGACAGGTGGAAGTGGAAGTTCAGATTCCCTACTTGTACTCAGTGACACCTGAGATAGGGAGAGGCACCTTGTTACTGTTGCGATTTATGGCTCCCCACTCTGCCTCCACTTTTACCGCCCTTACCTGGAGGCATAGGAGTGCCTCATTACTGCTCCTCACATGGCCTCTACTGACCCAATTCTCTAATTTGGAAAGTGAAATATTCTGTAAATTTAAATGAAGGTACAAATTTTTTTTTTTTCTGTTGCTGTAGGAGCAATGAAAATAAACTTTTCTGCAACACCTCTGCCAGAAATCATGGTGTTTTTTCCTGTCGATCTGAAAGGCAGCTAGTTTGGTTAATTATATGTAAAATGTTTTCAGATCTTTAAAGGAGAGACATACAGATCTGAATTAGCTGAAGATTTTTGTAACTAAGAGGAATTGCTCTTCTTTTGTTGTTGTTTATTTGTACTAATAATAACTTTATTGACCATGTACATTTTAGTTTTCTTTCATTGGGATACAATTATTGCCTCAGATGGTATGAATTATTTATAAACCATGGAATCTCTGAATCCTAGAATTGGAAAGAATCTGGGAATTATCTATTATAACCTCCATTTAAATGTAAGAACATGAATAAGAGTATTCACAAGTTAGTCTAATTTATTTTTGAAGAACTATAGTCTTTAGAAAGTTCATCCAGGTTTAAGCAAAATTTGTTTCTATGTAACTTTCTTATACATTATTCCCACTTCTGTTGTCTGTATCTTTATAAAATGTCCAATCTCTCTTCCAAAATGAGATTATTCAAATTGCCAGTTAATCAAATTGTTCCTCAGTAATATTATTAGTAACCCAATCGTATTTTGCATGCTGTGATTTTCAAACATTTTGTCATTCCCATCACCATTCCCTGACTGTAACTCTAGTTTGTCAGTATTTTATAAACCTGTAGAATATCAAACTGAACAAATTGAAATGTGATCTAAAACAATGGCTTCTATAAGTGAATATATGATACTTAAGATTATGTTTAATTTTGTAATCCTTGGTTATAGAGTGGAACTATTGATTTATATTGAATTTAAGGCCAAGCAAAACTCCCATTCTTTTTCTTTTTAGTTGAGCCATCATTAAACCAGATTTCCCCTATCTGGGAAAACTTAACTTTAACTTTAGCAGTTAATGTTTTTTTAAAACCAAAATCCAGAATTTTCTATGTATCACTATCAATGTAATTTTCTCTTCAACCTATGGTACTAACATTAAGATATGTGTATATCCAATTATACTATCAAACATCTTGATATCTTTTACAGAATAGATGAGAAAGTTAATCGGTGGAGATTATTTTTCTCTGATGACTGCTCTTTCTCAGTAGAAGGTGATGAAATTAATAATTTTTAAATTTGAATAAGAAAGTATAGGGAATGTAAAGCTAGTAAGTATGGCATAAAATGCTTGCCCTACAAATGACTTCTGTTGGTTAAAAGAAAAGTTCGAGAACATTAAATGACTAGGTGGTTATTTCAAAAACAGATAAAGAAAATCAAATAACAGTCTTCATGACAAAGCTCTTAGTCTTCTGCTATTTAAATTTAAATGAGGGAATAAGTTTGGGTAGTTAGTGCTGAGGGAATGATAGGGTGGCTATCTGTTCCTTTCCCTGGGCTGTTGTTGTGGTTCTTATCATCATCAGCAGCAGCATCATTATCATCTCATCCTCATCATCATCTTTGGTTTTGAGGGACTGCATAGCCACCAAGTTTTATCCCTACTACTAATAACTGAGTAATTTAGGTTCTTATCCTGAAACTTGAAGAGTAAGTAAGCAGTAGTTATTCAACCACAGAACAATGTTTCTTAAAATGTGGTTTATAGATTATCTTCATCAGAATCACCTAAAGAAGTGCTTTCTAAATTTTAATGTGTTTATGACTCATCTGGTGGTTTGTTCATTAAATGCAGTTTCTAATTTAGAAAATCTGGGATGGGGCCTGAGATTCTGAATTTCTTTCTTTCTTTATTTTTTTAAAGCTGGTAATAGTTACAGTATATTTTTAGTCTGTTTTGTGTTGCTATAACAGAATACCTGAGACTGGGTAATTTATAAGGAAAAGAGGTTTATTTGGCTTACGATTCTGGGACAGCTGCGTCTGGCACGGGCCTCAGGCTTCTCCTCATGGCAGGCAGCCAGTGGGTACAGGCAGATCACATGGCGAGAGGAAGCAAGAGAGAGAGAGGAGGTGCCAGGGTCCTTTAAACAATCAGCTCTCTGGAGAACTAATAGAGCTAGAACTCACTACCCCTTCTCCCCCAGGGAGAGCATTAATACATTCCTGAGGGATCCGTCCCCATGACTCAATCAGTTTCCAACACTGCCACATTGGAGATCAAATTTCCACATGAGTTTTGGAGGGGACAACACATCCAAACTCCATCAAGTATGAACTTGAATATGTTATTAAATCACTCTGGGCTTAGTTTTCTCTTCTATGAGATGGAGACAGTAATAGTCCTTATTTTTCTGGGTTGTTATGAGGATTAAACAGGTTAATCCATGTAAAATGCTTCCTCAGTATTAAGAGTACAAAGTGCTCAATATCTTTTTAAAATTCTACTTTTGCCCATATTGTTATTATTATTAATGTAGTGAGCTATCAGTATATTTATCCCATTAACTAACTTACTGCCAATGTGAGAAATCTCAGGGTAACCAGGAAAATGAGAGACTGTATGGTTCTAGAGTTAAATTGACTGTTAACCACCAGAGCAAGGGCCCAGGGAACAACTCAAGGAAATAGTCCCTCTTTCTCTTTTTCTAGCCACTTTCTGACTCTTCAAAAAATTTTATGCAGTTCTCAGACTAATAAAACATGAAGGGAGACAAATCTTCCTTTTGGCATTCTGATGCTGGTATTAACTACAAAAATCAGTTGTTTTATCATTTTATGTTAGTATTGCTTAGGAATTCAAAACAAATAGGCATATATTTTTAGAAAGAAATAAAAAAAATTTCATTTCAATTTTTAGTTCTGATTTTTAAATTAATTTCACATTACCAAACTTACTATATTCTTTTTTACTATTTAATTAGTGTGGATGATACATGTTAGAGAAATACTCTGACCTTAAGTTATGTACTGTCCTGTTTAAGACGTAAGTCTTGCTGCTCTTTTATTTTGCCCTAAGATCACAAGGTTCTCATAAGCTTCTGTGTTGGTCTCCAAAAATAACTGAACATTCAATTCAAAACTTTCTCTTGTCTCCTAACACCTCTAATAGGTGTATCTGCTCCAGACCTCCTGGACCAATTCTTTTGAATTAGTTTCTTTCCCTTGATAGCATGCCTAGGATAAATTCTACAACATGAATTTTCACTTTTTACCTTTTGAGAATAAATTTATTCTGTCCTAAACTCACACCATAAATGAGCTCATTCCATTTCATTCCTCTTCTATTTTTTCCCCCAGACATTTCTTATTCATACTTCCTCTTTCCATGTCAAATTGTCCCCATGTTGATTAATTCTTCAATTATTCTCTCTTTTGTCTGCCTATTTCTATCTCATGAAAACATTAGCACTCTCTAAAACCTATATTTATTTTCATTATACATATGTAAGAAACCCTTTTTCTGAACAAAAGAGCTATAAGGAGACTACAAATAAAGCTGGAAAGGGGAATATTTATCATATCAGAATGGCTAAGTAGAAGGGAGAATTTGATTTTTTATTATTGAATTCATCTCACGATTCTTGCTAAATGAAATTTAAAAACCAAACTGTTAGAAGCATTCTTTGCTAGATTCCTATCAGATAAAATACCCTTGACCTTGGATTTGCATGCAGCCTCAGAGAGAGTGTGCATTAATACTAGCTAGATAGAACATGTCATTTCCCTCACTGTAGAATTAATATCTCCTTCCACTTTACTCCTACAGCGACATCTATTTACCACCACTGTAGAAGGTCATGGCTTTTTCTACAGGTCTATCTTTTGTGGTTAGAATTTGAGTGTCCCCAGGCCAGAATTCTCTTTCTCATCCTCATATTGCATATGCCTAGTGGGGGTTTTTTGTTTGTTTTTGTTTTGTTTTTTTAATAAGCTTCCAGTTGATGTTTATGCTGTTTGTGTATGGACCTCACTTTGAACAGCAAGGACTGAAGATACTTGTTAAAATTTCAGGGTCTTATGCCCCATCCAGGCCCATGGAGTCACAATTTGGCTGGAATCTGGGAATATGCATTTTAATGAGATATTTCTTTATATCAAAGATTAAAATTGTTGCTGTAATTTAGTGTTTCTTAACAGTGGATGTGCATTAAAATCACCCAAAAAGAGTTTAGAACAGTACTCCTAATATTACCTCAGAATTATTGAATCATTATCTTTTGTGTTTGTATTTTTCACATGCAGAATTGTTATACATCCAATTCTGAGTGTAACCAAGTTGGAAAGTACAATTATAAATATCATACAAGGGGCTGGAGTCTTAGTTGGATTACCACAGTCATCATCCCTGGAACTAGAGGGTTCACCTGGAGTCAAGACAAAAAATAGGTCTAAAACTGAACTATGTTAGAACATTGGGGATAGGGGTGAGGGAGGAGTTTCAGAGTTGAAATCTCCCACTAAATTTTCTACAGCATAGTATCTGTAACTTTAAACCATTTTCTTTGTTAAAATATATTTTAGGCTTACGTTATGATAGTGCTTCTCAAACTAGAGTCTATGAGCATAATCCTGGGTTGTGAATTTTCTACAATAATTTCTACTTGTAATATTTTCATTTTTATATTAGACTAATGCAAACATTCTGAATGATGTGAATAAACCATTTTATACAAAAATGCTGCCACACATGTTCAATATGTAAAGTTAAATTTGTGTTTATGATTGTGTTGGCACCAAGCAGTATTCTTTTAATTATTATGGATTAATAAAATAACAGAGATGGACCATGCACATATATTATGTGCATGCCAAATAATTGTGAAATTATGTGATGGTATGCTATAGAACAAAGGGTTCAAAGCAGTTTGAGTAGATAAAAGTGGTGAATTAAAAGCATAGGGTAAGTATAGACACACCAAACTCAAAAGAACCTGTGCAGTTGGAACAATATCCATATTGTAACGTTGTTTTATTTCTGTAAAAATATTCAGCTGTCCATAAATTAACCTTATTCATTTAAACTCTAGGTATAGTTGTATTTAATTTGTATTTTTTGTTTTATGTGTAAAGAGCCATAAGTATGAGGAATTTACATCTTATTTTATTTTTGTACATCATAAATCATAAAATTTCTAAAAAGTTAAAAGTGAGGATCAGCAAAAATTCTTTAATTACTCAAGCTTGAGAAACTTTTATTCTTATTTTGATCTTTAATGACTCAGTTCAAATACAGCCTTCTACATTTGCTTTCGTTGATTTTCCTTACTGTAATTATTACCTCCCATGTTTGAACTCTTTATATAAAATTTGACACATTTAACTTTTATTTTTCTTATTTGTCTACTTGTTTTCTGTGTTGTAGTAGTATGCTTTCTGAGGGAAAAGGAGTGTTTGTCTTGCAGTGTAGGACAGTGCTTTTTATAAAGTTATTGAGTGAAGGTTGAATGAATGGACAAATGGATAGTAAGCTAAGAAGATTTCAGATGATTTATTATAGAATAGTGATAATCAATATAGATACAGGAACAAGATTATTTTTCCAAGGCTCACATATAACAGAAAAGATCTTTCATCTATCAGGTGATGGTGGTAGAAATAATGTTACAAATGAAGATATAACAATTATATACAATAAATGAAGTTGTATAAGGATATCAGTTAATCACTTAAAGTTATTGAATACACAGTAGGATTATAATCATGCCCTCTCCCTCACCCATGTCGATCATCCTAAGTGAATCACATTACTCTTTATCATTAGGTTTGGATACAGTCTGGGAATCTTTCTTAATTAGTTGTTACAACTAATGCTACTTGCGTGTATAGTAAATTGTATTGTTTATATAACTATCACTACATAGTAAGTGTAAGGAAAATATAATACTAACCAGATGCAAAATTTAGATATTTTAATTGTATTTTCTTTCTTTCAGAATTACTTACTGTCATCTACCTTTCCAGAGTAAATGGCTCTATGTTGGAACAGAAAGAGGAAATACACATATTGTAAATATTGAATCTTTCATTCTTTCTGGATATGTTATCATGTGGAACAAGGCAATTGAACTGTAAGTTTGAACTTGGATATCACTTTGACTTAAATCTTTCATGTAGTTATGTAACATACATATATAATTCTAGTTATTTGATACATCTATTACTAATTTATAATTAACTTGAGTGAAAAGTTTCACTTAAATAAACTTAAAACCATTAAGGTTTTTAGGAGTAGATATTGTAGTATTAACATATGTTAATTTTAGATTTTCCAAGTACCATTAATAATTAAGGCTTATATATACAAAATCTGGTGATAAAATAGTACAGCTCATTCTACGAATTATATATGGAAATCATCTCACTTCATTATAATCAACTAACTTAGTATAGCCACTTTCAGTGGGAATTGGTTGTTTCCAGTTAATCATTATGTGGGATTGTTTCCATGTAATCATGATGAATGCACATGCTTTTTAATGCTGGTAGCTTATTCTTCACTTGCTTCATTAAAATATTGTTCTGGGTTCAAAGGAGAAGCAATTTATCTATATCTTTTATGTTGTGATATATACAGTTTTTTCAGTATGTGGTTGATGACAATTACCACTTTGGCTTTGGCACTGATGTTTAAGTTTCTGCACATGTAGAATATGAAATCCTCCAAATGTGAAACTGTGGAATTACAAGCCATCTATTTGTAGTGCTTACTTAAACAAGTCCTGATTAAACAGAAAAACAATTTTTATTTAATAAATACATATTAGTTCCTTAACAAAATATGTCTGACTTGAGGCTGGCTCATTTTCTCTGTCACATAAATTTTAAGTTACAAAATTATTCTCCAAAATTCTGGTTAAAACATTCTATTTTCACGAAGCTTGATTCTGGTCTTTAAAATAAATCTTTTCCTTAATCCCAGTATTTCAATGTACATGTATATTGCTTTATAAAGAAGGTGGTTACTAGTTATACTCTTGTTACAATATTCCTTTTGTATTATGCCTTAATGGATCTTTTATTAATGATAACTTTCTTCCTCATTAGATTAGGAATTTTGTTTATTGTTCTTTTCTTTATCTTTATACTTGGCTTATTTGGATGCTTTCCACCAAGTGGCTACTGAATGAATAATGGCATTACTGAAGCATTTGTATGATAGATAGTTACACACTTCTGTTGACTTACAACTTTATGTTTTAAAAAATAATTGGTATGAGCTATTTTGCTCTTATTTGCTCTAATAGTCTATATGTGTATTTTTAAGAACATTTATCCTGTAGACAATTAAGTTTCCCAAAGAAATTACTTATTTTTTTTAGCTATTTGGGAAAGACCTTTTCCCCCTTATAAGCTTACTCCTATAAAAGCAATAAATAGGGCTGAATTTCATGCTGTTTGCATGATATTGTTTTAAGATGTTGATAAAAACATACAAACTTAGATAAACTTGAAAGAAGATTAAATTAATTTAAAAACATTCAGTATTAGTGTACATGTGTAAATGTATCATTTGTGTTCAGTTGAATGCTGTTAAAGTAATTAAGAAAAATTTATCATCTTAGATCAAATATTTCACCACTCTTGCAATTTTGTTTCCATAATCAGTTATTTAGCAAATCCTTTCCATAGTTCAATTACTTCTGGAACTAGTGACTTATACTTTACTTATATATATTTATATAGTCTATAATTTCAAGACTAATGAAAAGTTTTAAGAATGTATATTATAATGGAGGGTAAAATTAGGAGAAATTAAAGAGGTAAAATAAGGCACTTTTCTTTTTCATAGTGTGATTTTACATATCATTTTAATCTTGTGCTTATAGAGTTATACATCTTCTGAAAATGTCTTAGAAATATCTTCAAGAAATTATTAGTAAAGAACAGGACATCACTTCTTGAATATATCTTGGTTTATTTAGATCAGATTTCCAAAAGTGTGTTCCATGGAATTGTAATTCTGTTGTGATAGATAAAATTTTAAATGCCAACTCCCAGTCTCCCAGAATTGTCTTTTAAGTGCTCTCTACCTCTTGAGATACATTAGAAAATGCATGTCATTTCCTGTTAATATGTGTCAAGTGTATGAGACAATAATAAAATATGCATTTAATTAAGAAGAGCCATTTCATAAATATACTTTAGACCGTGAAATTTTTTTTTTTTTTTTTTAAAGATGACCGGTAAGGGGTTCTTGACCCTTGACTTGGTGTTCTCAGCACCACGCTCAGCCAGTGAGCTAACTGGCCATCCCTACATGGGATCCGAACCCGGGGCCTTGGTGTTATAAGCACCACACTCTCCCGAGTGAGCCACAGGCCGGCCCTAGACCATGAATTTTAACAATATATTTTTTAGGCATGACAAATGCAAGAATTGTCTGTAAAAGATATATGAGATTATTTCTATTTTTAAGTTCTTACTTGAAATACTTTTCATTCAATATTTGTTTTTCAGCATGTTTCTATTTTTAGTGAATTATCATAATTTAATTATAGGCATTTCTCCAAATTATGAATAGGTTGTGTTTCCAAAATGTATATATTGGTTATTTGGAACACAGAACACATTTTCCGTAGAAGTAGGGATATTTGTAGAATACAATATAAAATAGCAGTACAGATCTAAACTGCAATTAAAAAATATTTCTGTGGGCAAATATAGTGCACGTTACAGCACAGAAATAGCTATTTCTGTAGGACAGCCCTAGCACTTTTAAAAACATAACTTTTTTTCCACATATGATTAAAATTTAAGTATTAAATTCAGAGTTAAATCATAAGTTTAAGGCTTATATTTACCTAACAATCATCCTAACATATTTATTGAGCACTATTGTATGATAGATGCTAAAAACAATTGAACTGAGGAGACATAGTTTCTGTCCTCTTGAGGCTTTCAGTCTAACAAAGACAAGAGTGAATAAAAAGGCAATTATGATATATTGGAAATATAATGTGGCAATCTCATAAGAAGGACATCTATTACAGACATGAGTTTTCAGAGAAGTATCTGTGAAGGAAATTGACTTATGCTGAGATCTCAAGGATGAGTTTAATTAGATGAATGAAGAATCAGGGGGCAGAAGTGACATAGTGTTCCAGGAAAAAAGAATAATGTCCAAGGGATGGAATGTAAGAGAATTTTCTCTTCTATGCCCACAAATTTTAAGTAGATTTTAGTTGGTTGGAATGGCTGGGAGAGAGGATGACAGGAGATAAAGCTGGGGAGATAATCAGTGTATATAACATAAAATGTCTCGTAAGGCAGTTTGAGAATTCATAAGGCCAAAAGGAAACTAGATTTTGAAGAGTTTTAAGTGGAGATCTGACTTGATTAAATCTATATTTTAGAAAGACTAGTCTGAATGCAGGTATGGAGAAATGATTGGAGAGAGGAAAGACTATTCTTGGTAAACATTATGGTGGTGATTGTAGGTTGGAGATAAGCTGACATATTAAAGAAATGTTTAAGGTAGAAGAGGCAAGAATAATAGAGAAAAATTAAAGGTGACTCCCAAATATTTTGCTTGAGCAACTGTGTATAATGGTGCCATTTAGTGAAAGAGTGCAGGAGATTGAGTAGTTTGGGAGTAAAATAATGAGTTCAGTTTTAGGTAGGTTGAATTGTATGTGTTGATAAGACATTCAGATGGAGGTGTATGGGAGACTGGTAGAAGGGGGGTATATGTATCCAAAGGTAATGAGATCAGAATTTACATTGTTGTTGAAACAATGAGAATGAATGAAGTTGTGTATGAAAAGTATATAGAAAAGAGGTAGCAAACTAGTAGCCAGTAAACTAATTATGACTCACAGATTTGTTTGATCATCAGAATACTTAAATATGTTCTGAATTACTAGTTTCCAATATTTAAAAATTGGTGGAATAGAAATAAAAATTTGGATTTCCTTTTGTGAAAAGAATTCAAAATGAAACTATCCTAGTTTAGCATTTCTGCATGGCCATAATCAACTGGAACTGAGTAGCAACTTTCTTTTTGTAGGTGGGTAATGCACAATTCTTATTCAACCCATTTAACTCATTTGCAATACCTGCCTGGCTCCTGTGGGCTTTCACATTCATGAGCACATATTATATTGGAATAGATGACAGTCTAGTACAGAATACCAAGGAATATCAATATTTAAGATATGGGAAGATAATGAAAAATCAACAGTGGAAACTATCAAGAAGCCATTGTGGTGAATGGGAGGAAGAGAAATAAATGGGGATATTTGAAGAATTACTAGGCATTATTTAGGTGGCTATTACATGAATTTAAGTTCATTGATAATTCTAGCAAAAGTAATTTTTGTGGAATTTTTGGACTTCAGAGTCCACAGATGAATTTTATTTTTTAGGTCAATTTCTCATGACTGTAAGTTTTGCCAGAAATGGTTTTTGGGTTTTAGAAGTTTGATGTTAGGGAAAAAGTCAGAAGAAATATACCAAAATATTAATAATCATTATCTCTAGGTAGTAAAATAATGTGAAACCTTTTTCCCTCTTAATTTTTGAAGTCTTCTAAGTTTTTAAAAACGTAATAAATAATATTTCTTGTATAGTCTGAAAAAGTCAGTACAGACAACTGAAGTTTAATGCTAGAATATTTTCTGAACTAGAGTGTTGTATAGAGTCTGAGAATCTAAGTGGAAGAGTCTTACATATATTCTATGTAGTGTTCCCCAAGGTATATTTCAGTGATTCCTTTAATATAACGAATAAAAAGGATTCAATTAACCCATAATTTTGGAAAATATTGAAGATTTGCAATACTCATTTGCATAGTACTCTAAGGAGTTCTGTAGGAAAAAGGTATTTAACTGTATTTAGTTTGAGGTTTCCCAAACATTTTTTGACATGGAACACTTTTTATGTGAAACATTTTGAATCTTCAGTAGTTAATCATGGAGTACACTTTGGTAAATGTTGGTCCAATCAAATCCAAGAGACAGATAGGGGTTTGTGGTTTTTTAGCTATAATTAGTTCCTAAAGGATAATTTAAGGATGTTGTCCTTTATCAGAGGATTTATACCTTTATGGAACATTGCATTTATGTGTAAATGATATGTTACATATTAATGTGGAAAGAACTGCAAAAAGCTCTGTAAGCTTTTTACAAAGCCCTGTTTAGTTTTTTTTTCCCTTCCTGCATATATTCTAGAATGCACATAGTAGCTGTGATTTCCAATTATCACAACAATCATAATGCATATTTTTTATTTAATACATACTCTGTTTTGCTATTATATTAGGTGCTATATGTGTATTGTTTCTAATCCTCATCATTATTATTCAGTAGGGTTAGTGTTACTATTTCCATTTTTAGATGAGAAAATTTAGGATGAATTTGCCAACAAAATTCATCAATTTCTAATATATCTGTATATATTCCTCTGGGTCACTCTGAAGAGCCAGTATCAGGGGAACCCAGAATTATTTAATTCATTGCTTTTCTCTGATTCCAGATAGTTTCTAAGATTTAAATGTTCTTCATTGTTTGGTGCAGAATCTTTGATGGTTTTCGTGTGTGCTTAAGAAATAATCTAAAACTATGTCAATATAATCATAATAAGAGCAATCTGGCAAAATTAGATCAAGAAAGTCTGTTGGAAAACTGAGTAATAATAAATCTCTGTTCATATCAGGTCATATCATATTTAACCATGCATAATCAGATTCAACAATGACATAAGTTAAACTAGGAATTATTTTAATAAATGCTAGATATAAGAGTAGAATAAATTTAAGGTCAGATTGACAGAGTACAGGTACTTTTAACAATACGCTGTTAAACATAATTGTCTGTTATTGATTATGCTGGATAACAGGAAAATGAGACATAACCAATGAATTAGGTTTCCCCAGTTTGCCAGTTTTCTGTAAGATGGTTATCACTAGTGTGAGTTTCTTTTTAAATCAAAGGTGCCACTGTACTTTTCTTTAGGGGCAAAATCAGAGGAGATTTCATGTCAATGGAAATCTTAAATGAGGTATGTACTTTGAAATTTGGTTAAAAGAAGTTTACAGTAGCAGCCTTGTGAATGTAGTATTCTTTTGTCAGTATAAATAAAAATTCAATTTAAAATTTTCAGAGGCCCATATCTGGCAATGAAGATATCAAATAACAAAAAATCCCTTTGTTGGATGGATCTTTATTCTTAAACCTGATTTTTTAAAAATTGCAATTACTTTAATAGAGTTAGTAGGAGAAAGAAAAGTTGTTAGTAAAGAAAACCAAAAACTCACATGAATCTGAGCTTAACCCCAGAATATTGGGAGTTTATTCCAGTATAGTCTTAATTTCTTTGTTCTAGTCTCTAACAGAGAAGTATTTTAATGTTTAGTTTTTAATTACTGCTTTGAATTGATTTAACAGATCCACCAAGACTCATCCAGGTCCAGTTGTACATTTAAGTGATAGCCCAAGAGATGAAGGGAAAGTGAGTATTATAATACCATTATTCTTCCTTTTGTTTTCTTCATTCTTAAAAAAAAGGTATTTCTTACTGTTATTTTATGCTTAACATCTAGCACAGTTCATAGCAATCAGTGTTATCAAAAATTAGTTTGTTGGATGAATGAATGAATGAACAAATGAATGAATGAGTGAATGAATTATTCATACTAATAATGGTCCCATACTAAGTTTTTAGTTTCCCGTGGAGCTAAAGTAGATATTTAATTCAGGAATTTTGAGGAGGTAACATGTAGAACAACTTTAACTTTCAGATATTCTATACTTGAATTTAATGATTATCAATATTATTAATCATTCACCTCTGTTATTGAATTTTGGTAGAGATAAATGACCAATATTAAATAAAATAAATAAGCCAATCTTGATTTTACAAATATGAAGATAATATGGAAAATGTTATCAGATCGTAGAAATAATTCTTATTTATCTTCATTATTTCATAATTTGCCTCTGATGATGAGGAAACAAAGTTGCTAATATGAAAAGATCTAAAGTGTCAATATCATAAATAAATGTCTCTCCAAGTATATAATTTTTGCTAAGTACTGTAGAAAACATTAAAAATTTATTTAGTGTAGATTTGGTTCTTTGTTTATTTTTAAAGGATAGAGACTGAATTTTAATTGAAACTGTTTTAATAGCTGTCCTTGGATTCTCTGGTATATTCTATGTATGAAAGCATAGCAAATGAAGACAAATTTTGTTTTTTCCTTTCCAATATTTATAGTTACATATACATCTTTTTGTTTCGTTGGCTAGGACCCCAGTACAGTATTAAGTATAAATAGCTTTAGTGGGAACTTTATTTTGTTCCCAACCAAAGGAAATGCCTTCATGATTTCAGCATGTTATTGATTTGTAGTTTTAATCTTGTTGCCTGAAAAGATACTGGAAATTATTTCAATTTTTAAAAATTTGTTGAGACTTGATTTGTGATCTAACATGTGGTCTATCCTGGAGAATGTTCCACATTCTGATGAGAAAGAAGAAAGTATATTCTGTAGTTGTTGGATGGAATATTCTATAGATATCTGCCAAATCCAGTTGGTCTAATGTGTAGTTTAAGTCCTATGTTTCGCTGTTGATTTGTTGACTAGATGATCTGTACAATGTTGAGAAGGGAGTGTTGAGGTCCCCAACTATTATTGTATTGGTGTCTGTCTCTCTCTTTAGGTAAAATAGTATTTGCTTTATATATCTAAGTGCTCTGATGTTGGCTGCATATATGGTTACAATTGTTATGTCTTCTTGCTGGATAGACCCCTTTATCATTATATAAGGACCTTCTTTGTCTCTTTTTATGGTTTTTGATTTAAAGTTTATTTTATCTGATGCAAGAAGAGCTACTCCTGCTCATTTTTGGTTTCCATTTGTGTGGAATAACTTTTTCCATTTCTTCATAGTTAGTCTGTATGAGACTTCACAGGTGAGGTGAGTTTCTTGTAGACAGCATATAGTTAGGTCTAGTTTTTTAATTCATTCAGCAAGTCTATGGCTTTGAGTGAGAAATTTAGTCCATTTACATTTAGGGTTATTATTAAGAGGTATTATCTTATTCTTGGCATCTTATTTTTTTGTTTGCCTGTTTTAAATATCTTTTGTTTCTTTCTTTCCCTTTTATTTTTTGTCATTGGTGTTCATTGGTCTTTTGAGATGATAAGATATAGTTTCTTTCTCATTTGCTCTACCAGTGAGTTTTGTTCTTTCTTGTATATTCATGGTGGTGATTGTCATTTTGAGGATTCCAGATGCAGGTCTCCCTTGAGGATTTCTTGTATGGCTGGTTGTGTGGTGGTGAACTCCCGCAGTTTTTGTTTGTCTGGGAAAGACACTATTTCTCCTTCATTTCTGAAGGAGAGTCTTGCTGGGTATATAGTATTTTGGGCTGGCAGTTTTCTTTCTTTTTTTTTTTCTTTTAGAACTTTGAATTTATCATCCCATTCTCTTCTGACCTCTTGTGTTTCTGCTGAAAAGCTACTGTTAGTCTTATTGAGACTTCCTTATAGGTGATTTGATGCTTTTCTCTTGCTGTTTTTAGTACTCTCTCTTTGTATTTGACTTTTGACAGTTTGGTTATAATGTGTCTCATAGAGGACCTTTTTGGATTGTATCTGGGGATCTTTGAGCCTCTTGGATTTGAAAGTTTGCATCTCTCCCAATACCTGGGAAGTTTTCCACTATTATTTCATTGAACAGGTTTTCAATGCCTTTTCCTTTCTCCTCCCCTTCTGGAACATCTATGATTTGGATGTTTGTGTGCTTAAGGTTGTCTAATAGCTCTCTTAGATTTTCTTTAGAACAGCCTAACCTAGAAGCATAAGTCTTCCTTCAGGGAGTAATAGACTATACACAAAAGAAATAGAATACCCTCCAAAGGAAATGAGGACATGACTAATACTCTCAGCCATTAGGGGAATCTATGCAGAAATGTTTTTAAGGGTTTGAACTTGGGGGCTGCAAAGAGGAGAGTTCATTTACATGGGAGCAATCACCAATGATTTGAGATTTTAATGCTTTGGCAAGGACACTTAGATCTGGTCCTAGTAATTTCCCAGGATAGCTCTTTGAAGCCTGGACTGAACAAAGGCATATGATAAATAAAGATGCCAGAGCCTTTTAGTATAATGTTGAAGAAGGTGTCAGGGGCCGGCCCAGTGGCGCACTGCTACAGTGTGCCGCTTGGGAAGCGCGGTGGCGCTCCCGACGAGGGTTCGGATCCCACATACAGACCGGTTCCCGCTCACTGGCTGAGCGAGGTGTGGGTGTGGCGCTGAGGGTTGCGATCCCGTTGCCGGTCCCGGTCCAGTACGGGCGCGACACTGAGGGTTGCGATCCGTTGCCGGACACGAAAAAAGTACAGTGTGCCGCTTGGGAAGCGCAGTGGCGCTCCCGACGAGGGTTCGGATCCCACATACAGACCGGTTCCCGCTCACTGGCTGAGCGAGGTGTGGGTGTGGCGCTGAGGGTTGCGATCCCGTTGCCGGTCCCGGTCCAGTACGGGCGCGACACTGAGGGTTGCGATCCGTTGCCGGACACGAAAAAAGACAAAAAGGAGAAAAAAAAAAAAGAAGGTGTCAGAAGACTCAGGGAGATGAAAGTATTAAGATAAATACACTGTTTGTCCTGGCAACTTGCCTCCTGACTGTATTCCTCAGGAAGCTCCTTAAGCACGTTGTCTTCACTTAACCTAACGAAGAATGCTCTGGAAAGGTAACTATGAGCATATTTGAGAAACATGATAGAGGTTGTAGGAGATGATGGCAGAGACCCAGGCTCCATAATACCTATGAGGATTAAATATCATGGATTGGTAAAAGCTAGGTCACAATATTTAACTATTTGGCAAAAATGGACATAATTACCATAACAAGCAGTGAGGCTGGAGTGGCAATGCAGGAATCTGTGGTAATAGCTAATATATCATGATGTTTCTAGGAGCAAAATTAGGTGGGCAGCTGACCAAGATGTTGCCTGATTTGCATAATCAGAAAAAAATCAAAAGCAGTTTAGCTGTTGACATTCACAATCCAAATGGAAAATCATAGTATCTCATGAGGTTTCTAGAGTTAAGTCATTTCAGAGATCCGGAATCCATTGATTAGAAGAGAAGTCACTTGCCCCTAAAGAAGGATCCTGAAATGCCCCCATAAGTACATAAAGTAATTATAGGAGCATCTGTGGTCTCTTGCAAGAGTGATTGTTTACTTTTTCAGTACTGTTAGTTATAGGGTCAGATTAGATATTGACACCAGGAAATCTGAAAAGCAATTGTGGTCCTCTAGTTAAAGGCAAGGCATACAAAACTAACCAACCAGGTGATACATGGAATTTTGGCCCAAGTCTAATTTCACAGTAGACCCAGTGGGTATATAGACACACCCAGTTATTTTCACTAAGTATATAATTTGGATAAATATGCTAAGTACCTGGAATAATCCTCATATTGATTTCCTGACATTGTAATTAGAGGCATCATAGTAGGTAAGGAAAAAGGGAAACTCCTGAAATAGTCTCTCTCTGCCAAACTTGTAATCAGAAGCAATGCTGCATCTTTGAAGAAGTTTCAGAGATTAGCACGATAAGACATCCTTGTTGAATTCCATTGTCTAGGTTTTGCAAAAATCAAAATGGATCAAGGTTGATAATAGTAAACCACTGTAGTATTAAGTTAGTGATATCACCAATCATAGCCACCTTGTTGTTGATACTTTTATGGGTTCAGATCAATACAGCCTTTGATACTTAATATATACTTCTTGATATTGTGAGATATTTTTTTCTCAATATCCATCAGCAGAGAGTATCAAAATTACTTTTACAAGAAGGAATAGTAGTATAACTTCACAGTCTTTCCCCAGGACTGTGTTATTTTTCCTGCTCTCTATCATAATACAATCCTCAGGAACCTTGATTTTCTGGACATTCTTTAGAAAACATACCAGTTCCCTTTATTGATTATATGATACTAATTGGATCTGGTGAGAAGAAGTGGCAAGTATCTACATGACTCATAAGACTCACGTGTCAGAGGGCAGGAAGAAAATTCAACAAAAGTCCAGGGGCCTGTCTCATATGTGATGATTTTGAGGGTTTTATAGTCTGGGGCATGCAGGGACAGCTCTTCTAAGTTAAAGCATAAGCTATTGTACTTCTCCTTACTAAGAAATTGTCACATTATTTGGTGGGCCTTGTTGGATTTGGATAATAGTATATAATGCCCTTGATATTTCTGCTTCAAATAATTTGTTAAGCCAACCAAAAGTCTGCCAGTTTTGAGTGGGAACTAGGGAAAAAGAGGACTGTTCACCAAGTCAAAGTTGCTTTGCAAGGTACCCTACCACTTGGGATCTGTGATCTAATAGATCTGATTGAACTTGATGTATCTGACAGATAAGAATGTTCTATTGGAAAGCCCAATAGGAGAGTCACAACAGCTAGTCTCCATTTTCAAAGCAAGCCCTG